TTATATCCAAGTGTATCCTACCCGACCCGCAGCCTACATTACAACCAATTAAAGTCCTACTTGATCCTAGACTGAATGAGCTTGATTAGTAGAGTAGTACACTACAGGCAAGCCTATGGTGCATCTTTTGTGGCATATGAATGTTATTTCTGAGAGTGAGTGAATTTTTCTATCTTGAGTTCCTAATTGCTCTTAAATTTTTATTGTGCTTATGTGAGGGCACTTGATTCATGAAGGAAAGGTAATGTCATTGACCTCAATGTTAGAGTAAGTGAGTTAGTTGTGAATAATACGAGGTACTTGTGAGTCAAATTTTGAGGTGAAGATGTTACACCCTTGTACTTAGTCTATTTTAAAGATTCTTGGTGTGATGAGTTAGGAAAGTTATTTAAAAAGATTGTGTCTATATAAAGTATAGTTTGATTGCTCGAGGACGAACAATGTTTAAGTGTGGGGTAGTGATGTTTGGCTATAATTCCATATTTTTAGTGCATTACTTACCTTATATTTTGGGGCTTTAATATTAAACCATACTATATTTGTGCTTAATTGAGTTTATTTTATGTGTAGGTATGTTGAAGACGAAATTGAGAGAAAAGTAGATATTTTATGTGTATTTTATGCACTACAAGAGTGGAGTTATGATCATTTAATTATTGGATATACAATGAGTAAAGTGTGACATTACAAAAGAAGACAAAAGTCAATTGAAAAAAGAAGACAAATCGTGACATTGGGAAGTAGGCAAAGCAACTCAAAAGTGAAGCAGAAAGAAGTCAGGCGAAGCGAGCCATGTTGCTCGCGTTAGAGCAGGCGAGGCGAGGTATTTATCTCGCGTTTGAGTGTGCGCCGCGAGACCTACAGCGAGAGAAGGCATGCTACAGAGCTTGCGAGGCCAGGGTTACAACGAGATGAAGCTCGCGACAGAAGTCGCGGCGCGAGGCTTGTAGCAAGGGTGTTACGGATTTTAAAAGCCTATAGCTCTAGAATATTCACTCGCATTGAATTTGTCTTTAAGCTTGTCGTTGTTTTCTTTAATCTCTTAAATTGTTACTCTAGATTACTTTTAGTTAAATATTCATACGTTAGGATTCGCTTGAATAGATTAATTGTTTGATTTAATTTAGTTGATAGTTAATCACAAGTCCATGTGGGTACGATATCTGAACTTACAATCCTATATTATAACTTGTCGACCACGTATACTTGTGCGTGCATTTGGGAGCAACAAGTAGCTTTGTATAAATTCAATATTATCGGAAGAGAATTTTAGTGGTGAAAAACAAAATAGAAGGGAGGGATAAAATGGGTAGGGGTGTTGAGGTGGCATGTCACGTGGCATCCATCTCATCAAATATTAGTGCCATGTAGGATTGGATGTCCACATTTGCCAAACTTAACGGAAGAGGGGTATATTTGAACCAATAGTATAACGACAGAGGTATATTTGGACTCAAAGTATAACGAGGGGTATATTTAAACCTTTTCTCATAGTACAGGGGTATATTTGGACCTTTTCCGATTTACATAAATTACATAACTCTAATTGAATTTAAAGTTCATTGCAAGCTACTGTCTAAATATTAGTATATAATTTTTACAAAGGCAAATTTAATTAATTTTAAAATTTTAAATATTAGGCCTTTCTACCTAATTTAGATAAGATAATATTTAATAAATAAAATTTTAGCTGACTTTAAAGTTTAAATATTAGGAAGATAATTAAATTACTATTTTGTCTAGTGTGAAATCTAGTTTTCAGGCGTAAAAAAGGTAAACGATATTTCGCTAAGGATTTTCGTGCTTTTAATATAGTATATATATAGATATAGATAGTCGAGTGAATCGGATACTACTTGTTATTTAAAGGAAGTTTAGTCACCAGTTCTGTTTACTCGCGAGATTCTTGTCATTTAGCCTGAAATTTTGAACAATATACATATTCATATTGCAGCACCAGGAGAACTTAGCAAGAACAACTTTTGCAAAGGGCCAAATATACCCCTCTATTTTCGAAAATGGTCTAAGAATACCCCTCGTTATACTATTGGGTTATCTATACCCCTGCAGTCATACTTTGGGTTCAAATATACCCCTCATTTAAACGGAGGGACACGTGTCATCGTCCTGTTGGTCAATTCTAAATATCTTCTAATTAATTAAAAAGACTCATTAATCATACCCGAAAAGCAATTTTTTAAAGCAATATGTTTTTGTAAAAACTGGAAAAAACTGAAATTATTTTTACTAAAAACTGAAAAAAACGAAAATAGTTTTTTTTTCAGTTTTACAAAAAAACTGCTTTAGAAAAAACTGAAAAATATTTTCTAAAATAATGCTTTTGAAAAAACTGAAAAAAAAACTGAAAATCAATTTTCTAAAGCAATATTTTTTGTAAAAACTGAAATTTTTTTTACTAAAAACTGAAAAAAAACGAAAATATTTTTTTTCCCAGTTTTTACAAAAAAACTGCTTTAAAAAAAGCTAAAAAATATTTTCTAAAACAATATTTTTGTAAAAACAGGAAAAAAAAATTAAAAAGCAAATTTCTAAAGCAGTGTTTTTGTAAAAACTGAAAAAACAAATATTTTCTTTTTTTTCAGTTTTTTTCAGATTTTAATTGCTTTAGAAAATTGCTTTTCAGTTTTTACAAAAATATTGTTTTAGAAAATATTTTTCAGTTTTTTTAAAAGCAGTTTTTTGTAAAAACTAGAAAAAAAAATATTTTCGTTTTTTTCAGTTTTTAGTAAAAATATTTTTTTAGTTTTTTTCAGTTTTTACAAAAAAAAAATATATTTTTCGAGTATGAATAATGAGTCTTTTTAATTAATTATGAGATATTTAGAATTGACCAACAGGACGATGACACGTGTCCCTCCGTTTAAATGAGTGTTATATTTGAACCCAAAGTATGACTGCAGGGGTATAGATAACCCAATAGTATAACGATGAGTATTTTTAAACTATTTTCGAAAGTAGTGAGGTATATTTGGCCCTTGCCGTTTTGCAAATGGGATAGAGGATAGTAGTTCATTTCTTCTAACCAAATCATACCTTAACTCGCGGTTGAGCATCTTGCATTTAAGTTTTATATGAAATTACCAAAGAACGAAGCAAAAATTTCTGTTTAGTGCTTACTGCTTACCCAACTGAAAGTTGGCTCAAAAAAATCGTGTAAATAAAAGCCCCCGGCGAGGATCGAACTCGCGACCTTTCGCTTACGAAGCGAACGCACTACCACTATGCTACGGAGGCACGTTGCACAATAGTTGATATATATTGTTTATATTAGATAATATTGTTTTACAAGTTACAACAAGACACAAGTTAAATGAATCGGATACCAGGTTGTTAGGAAACAGAAATTTCATAAATTAACTCGCATTATGACTTGTTACTCATATAGCCCGTCACATTCAATACTTACTTTTTTTAGACGGTATATAGATTATACATTAAATATACATAGTTATGCATCATGAATTGTATATAATATTATATATCCGCCGGCTATTTATAGCTTAATATTAGGTGGGCGGCTATCTGGGTTAATTCTTCGTAAAAATACCGAAGCCCAAAGGCAACGACTTGATCGCCTCAGTCCCACATAAGAGAACTGGTGTTACCAGAAAATTTTAATAGTATGCATACTGGAGAAGGGTTTAAGTGATAGATAGGTTTGGTCTTGGAATAATCGATTCTAACATAAGAATTGTGATCCAAACAGTGACTAGGAAGGGGAGGAGCAAAGTCTTGATCTCTACTGGTTCTGATAGCTTGGGATTTTAGTTCTCTTTCCCAAGTGGCAAGATTAGCAATCCTAGAGTTTTCCTAACAGAAGACTTTTAAAAAAAACTTAGAGTTTGTTTTTCCAAATAATCTAACCTGTAAAATCAAAATGATGTTGAGTCCATCAAGTAACTTCAACTTGTCCAATAACAATCTTGTGAGAAGGCACGGGAGAAAATATGTTATTGATATTGGATGAACAATACAATACAAGAGGTCCTTATTTATAGCTATACTATACAAGGACATACTACTCCTCTATCAATGTGGGATAATACTACACTATATACATGCTGTAAACTAACACTCCCCCTCAAGACGGTGCATACAAATCATATGTACCGAGCTTGTTACATATATAACCAATACGAGGACCAGTGAGAGACTTGGTGAAAATATCTGCAAGTTGATCATTCGACCTCACAAACTTTGTAGCAATCTCTCCTAAAAGTATCTTTTCTCTGACGAAGTGACAATTAATCTCAATGTGTTTAGTTCTCTCGTGGAACACCGGATTTGATGCAATATGAAGGGCATCTTGATTATCACACACAAGTTCCATCCGACTGATTTCACCAAATTTCAACTCCTTGAGCAATTGTTTGGTCCAGACTAGCTCACATGTTGCCATAGCCATTGCTCGATACTCTGCTTCTGCACTAGACCGAGCAACTACATTCTGTTTCTTGCTCTTCCAGGACACCAAATTTCCTCCTACTAAAACACAATATCCAGACGTAGAACGTCTATCAAAAGGTGATCCTGCCCAATCAGCATCTGAGTATCCAATGATCTGCTCATGACCTCGTTGCCTGGAGCCGATTTTATATATCGAATAATGCGGACAACTGCATCCCAATGACTATCACAGAGAGAATTCATAAACTGACTTACAACACTCACAAGATAAGAAATGTCGGGTCTAGTCACTGTGAGATAATTTAATTTTTCGACCAGCCGCCTATAGCTTGGGATTCAGATTCAGGGATAATACTACGCTATATACATGTAAACTAACAAATCTAAATTATTGAAAAAAGGTCAATACCGGACTCACATTTCCGTCTATCAAATGGCAGTTTATTTGGAGTTGATTGACAAGTCGACATCCAGTCTTTTGCATTGTACCTTAATTACTGTTATGGGAGTTTATGAATGCATCAAGAAGCTACTAATATGAGAGCAAAAGTAGATACTCGTACAAAGATCAGTAAGAGTAAGAATATTTCTATTACTGCTGTATACAATACATAACAGATTAATCTGCATGGTCACAAGGACTAGAACAAGTTTACAACAAAAATTAACCCTACGATATACAACTTGCTTCCTAAATAGTTTGGTTGGGCCAAAAATAACTAGTCGTTTGGGTTAGGTATGAGGTAAGTATATGCAAAATGCCGTGCAAAAAGCTGCTTCTAGACGTGTCCGCTGAGTGTACGCCCACAAAGCAAAGGCAAGTATTCTACGTTGTTGGACTTGTTGCCCATTGTAATAAGGTAGATATCCCAGCTACATCAATCAAAAAGCTACCGAGCCAACTATAGGTTTTATACAAAAAACACACGTTGCGAAAATCAAGTTTTCCATCAATATCGACATCTATAAGTTGAGAATTTGTTAGTACCGCTTTCTTGTAAATATGTCGCGGCATCAATAACCTTGCGATAGTAACGCCAAGATACGTTCTTTTCAGTGATAGGTCGTTGACCAAATGGGTTACTCTCTACATACTCCTGAACATTTTCTGCCATGGACAATCCTTCAAGATAAACACGCAGATCACCGCCGGGCCCTGCTGCAGATAAACAAAATGAAGTTACATACTTTCTAACAGCATGAATTGGATTGAATACAATTCATGTCATGCATACACAAAGAGGGTAACGACAATCATAAACCCACATCTCTACCCCATACAGGATAGGAATGACCCAAGCCGTTTAAGCGGTCACATATAGTAGTGTAAAGCATTTTAACTAATCATATAATTGGAACTTGGAAGTATGAATCCTGGAGAAGCAAATACTATAGCAAAAAGTCCTTGTACAAAAGGAAAGCACAAAGAAATTCCAAGTAACAGAGTTCAGTATCAATTTGCATTATTCATCGGAAAACACACATGATATACTCGCGAGGTCCAACCATCACCAGTACTCGCGAGGTTCAACCATCACCAGACTCTCAATGAAGAAGCCCAAGAAACAAAGTTCACAATTGACATGTCTGACTCACCTACCCCTGTAGTTGTGATAGTTTTGCAAGAGAAAACACACACACAGAGGGAGAAGGAAGGAAGCTCACCTAACGAGTCATCTTTCTCATCCAAATAATGGTATGAATTTGGAAATATTGCTGTATTTGGCTGCAAAAACGAAAATACAAGTTGAAACTTATTGAATTTTGCTCATGCAGTAAATTTAAATTTCCCAGGAAGAGGAAAGGATTAAAACTCACTGGATTACACAAGGCTTTGTGAGGAGAGTCGTCCAATAAAAGTGTGTTTGACTCATCATATTCACCTCTCTCCCATGGAAGATCTGGTTCAGATTTATCCCATAACATTTTAAGCTTCTTCAAGATAATAGGCTTGGTCCTCCTTTTCCCGACAACAGGAAAACCTGTATCAGTGCAGTGGGATTGATCCTACATAATATTCAAGTTTGTTATACTACTTTTAAATGAATAAATGAAAAGAGGCAAACAGAAAAACAAATAAATGAGTACAAAGAAAACCAAAATAAAAAAAAAAGGCAGGATGGAAATTAGAACTTCTCCAACATAACATTTATTCTCCCAACGAGAAGAAAACAAAAAAACAACAAAAAGTATTTATCGATCTTACTTGGCAATTAGGAAGACATTTCCATATGTTAGTTCATACATCAATCAAGTGGGTAGAGCCACAAACATTAACTATGTTCAATCAAAAGTGTTTATCGAACTAGGTTACCAGATCTTAAAATAACTATCCAAGAGAGAATGAGCCACTAGTTTGGAAACTCCATCTATCGCAATAAGGTAAAACCATAATTTCACAAGCCAAGCAGCAGACTTAATGTAGTTCTCAGGAATTCAACTAGAGCCCAGAAAGTATTAGGTTGTAGAGCATGGCAACAGAGGGAAGTTGGCACCATATGTATCCTTATGTATTTGGTTTCATTGAGGAATAAGGGCAGGGGAGAATTAATGAAAGAATACTCAGTAAGCTACGTGGCAATCATGGGGACTTGTTTTCATCCCGAACCAGCAAAATTTTCCAAGCCACTCATTTTCTTTCGCGAAGAAAAGAGTTTAGCTGTTTTATTTTCTCACACTATGAAAGGTCAATAACACATCCCATTCGTGAAGGCCCAAAACATAACCGGACATATAAAGGGAAGAGTGACCAACTGTCGTAGAATTTGAGCCTTGAAAGGGTAACTTGAAAGAACGGCAATCAAGCCTGAAAGGAAATTAAATAATTGGCCACCCCTCCACCAATTTATATCTAGAGCAGTTCGATTATTGGGTCTGGAAATGAGCGGGAAAAGGATTGAGACTCCTATTGGATTGATAATTCAGAAATCCATGCATCAGCAAACAAAAGAGATGCATATATGACAAAGTAGTGCAACAATCAAGCTTCATTATCATATCTAGTTATTTTTCTAATCACTATCTATGGATTTCAATCCCTCAGATTGGGCATGAATGAAAATCCTTCTTCTATAGTCAAATGAAGTAGAATATGTATTTGAATCCTCAAATTATCCTTTGAGATGAGAAATACAGTATGCGTGCTTAGACAAACAAGACCAATAACTCATGTGTTCTCAACTTGAGTCTGATTCTAATACCAAGGCAGGTATTCCTAGGTTCCCCCTGATATCCACATTTATGTAACCATGCATTAGTAATTCTTGGGAGAAAATCAGAAAATATAACTAATTTTCACCATGCACTTTCCCTTTTTCAAATGATATTAAAGTCCAAGAATCACCAGATTTTCTTTTAGTCCTCTGCTATGAACACCAAGAATTGAGCATTTGTACAAGCACCACATCATGAAAGAATATGAGAAGCAAGAAATTCTTACCCAACAAAAGACCAACTTGTGCTTGGCATTTCTCAGAAGAACATCTAGAACCAACTCCATATTCTTCCTGCAAAATTTTCAACAACATACACGGGACAGATATAATCATACGAGTCCACATCTCAACTACCGAATATATCCAATAAATGTACTACGGTGAGTAAGCAAAGTTTGAAGAGTACTTGATCCTTGATGACCATACACCTACATTGAATCTCTCAAAGCAGAATTGCAGAAAATCCTCCAGAAAAGGCCTTCTAAAAACTGGCACAGCAGATACAATCCAGTTAGAATAATTTCTAAAAGGAAAGTAAAACTAAAAGGTGAAATAAAAAGTTGGCCAACTCTACCTGCTTTCCCTGATACAATGATATCCGCTTTCAAATTATATGGAACATGACGAATCGGAACAATATCAGCAAGTAATCCATTTACATCAAGTACAAGAAGCTTCTTACTAGAAGGTGCATTAAGCACTCCACCCAAAGGAGGGATGATAGCCATATTTGTGATTTGAGTCTTCCCATCTACAAAAGCACTCGTTCTTGAATGAGGACTGTCTTCAGTTGCTGATTGTCTTTCCCCATTCAAGGGTTCATTTGTTGTGATCATACTATTAGTGTCATTGGAGGCCCTAAGACCACAAGACCTTGCACAATGTGAACTCTCTTTAGTAGATTCAATTTCATATGCCACATTCACAGTGGCATCTGCCTCATTTATATTCTCCTGCTCAGAATTTTCTGCTTTGGAGTCTATTGGACACTCATCCTTGATAGAAACCATTGGACTGTTGATGTTCTCTTTCTGATCATCAAGTTGAATTATTTCCTTTTTATTCCAAGCTTCAGAGCATGAACTGTCACCAGGAACCTTCTCTAATAGCAGTTGTTGCACACCCGTCAACAAGGTACTGCCTCCAGTAATTACTTCTTCAGGCAAATTATCGGAGCAGTACGATAAAGACACTTGGTAGTGGTTTGAGCTGGTGGTTTTTGTTTTGTTTTCTATAATTGGAAAAGAGGAGGCAGCATCCGTCATGATAGATGATAAACTGCTTGCGGGAGCACTAGAATTCTTTCTCCTCTTCCTGGAATAAGTTATCAGCACTTCCAGCCTTGGGTGTCTATGCAGACCCCTCATCTCAATTGCAGCATTATTGACCTCAACAAAATTACCATGTTCAGTAGTCAAAGTATCGCCTACATTAGAAACTGTCTCATCCCGATTTTCAACTTCAGAGACAGACTTCGACTCCAAAGTAACAAAAATATGATCCTTAGAAATGTCACTGCCGCACCTATCACTACAAGTTTCCACATCACGATCAGCACCAGTAGACTTAGAGGGATTGTTCCAATTAGTTTTTTCTGCCCCATCACATATATTCTTGGACAGACATGCCCTTATCTCACTACTGCTCATCACCAAATCTCCTTCATAGCATGTGGCAACTCCCATTTCTGAACTTATACCTTTATCTAAAGGATTCTTCCCTGTTATAGCAGCATCATTTGCCTGTTCACAAGTAGTTACATTATTTTCCGAGGCAATACACTTGCTCTCCAGAATGCTTCTTCTTTTCTTTACCTTCCATGCACTCAAGTCCGCAATGCAACTTCCTACTTTTGTACTTGATTTGATATTTTCAGAAGACCAGAGATGTGAATTTTTTTCTTGACCCATGATCCTCAATGGAGCTCTTAATATGTGGTCAGCATTACCAATACAAAATACCCTCCTATTTTGCTTGTTTCTCATTCTTTTTGCCTGCCAGGGAATGAGGTCATCAACTTTTTTGTTATGATGGCCTCTGCTAAAAGCAGCTTTGCTATTCAGCTTTCTCAGTTTAGTACCACCCTTACCCTTCTCAGCATCCCAGTAGTCTGGAGCCCCAGGGGCAGGCAATGCCTGGATAACAATCCTACTGCTATGCATCCTTTTCATTCAATAGGGGATGCAACAACGTTAACAGGAAGTTCCTGCAATAAAATTAAACCAAGTTCCAATGAATAACATTGGGCTATGACTGAAGTTTAATAGTGCATTTTTGCAATAAAAGTGGAAGCATGAAACCAGCTAGAAACTTTTCCGCAAAATTCCCATGCAGTCAAGCACGTGGCTATATTACTTACAGAAGTGTCATTGTAACCCAACTCAGTAGTAGAAACAGGCATCCAAATCAGGATGGATCCCTAGTGTAAGATATGGGTTCACATGAACCCAATATCTTTTGCTTAGACTTTGTATATGTATTAAGAAATCCACTAAATATAAAATACCCATAAATATTTCACTGAGACTCCCAGTTGTTATGGTTAACTTAAGGTCGCTATAGAAACCCATAAACTGCAAATCCTGGATCCGACTCTGATCCAAATATGCAAACTGAAATACCAAAAAAAGCTAAATTTTAAAAAGTACACACTTTTAAGATTCCATAAACTCTACACTAATTATGCTCATAATCTTCCTTAATAACAACTGTTTACATTCCCCAAAAGGAAACAAAGCAATATACGCACAGTCAAATACAATTTGGTCAACGCAGGTAAGCTCAGTCTAGCTAGTTTATAGAGATTGTAATCTATACTCAAGTCTATAGAAGTCACATTTATGAATCCTACACAAATACGAGACAATGCCTATGTAGATTTAACCTAGAAAACACAAAATTGTATTAATCGAAATACTCAATCGTAAAATGAATCAGAGAAAATGGAAAAAAAAAAAAACTTTTTCCAGTATACTTGAAGCATATGAAAGATACCTAGTTGAATCTGTTGAGCGTTGGAGAGAACTGAAAATGGAAAGTCGAATTTTGATTTTTTTTTGAGTAAGAAGTGGAAGGACCAGAGTATTTCGGGTAAATACAGCGGGGATTTTGGTATTTTTAAGATTGTCTTGCTCGAAAACCCGATCCATAATCATTTGGGGATTCGGATCCTTCCGACCAATCTTATCCAATTTGTGCAAATTTGTTTCTTTTTTTTATTTTTAGAAAACATAAAAAAAATAAAATAAAATGGTATAAATACAAAAAGTTTAGTATTTTGGAATAATATAAAATCCACGAGTGTAAAATTTAAAATTTTTGATATAGCAATCTAGGCATAAAGAGTGTTTTTGGATGTGTGAGGCTCTATGAGCTGGACCCTCATGACATAAAAGTGTGTTTAGAGTGAACATCATACTCATCGAGTTGTTAGTTCTATAATATTGTATATTATGGTAGTTTGAGAGTTCTGCGTAACGTCAATTCGAGCTCAAACATTACAATTTAAAATATCCCAGGTAAGTATACAAGTTTACGTGCTTCCAACTTTGGCCTCGCCATGAATCTAATAGCATGTTTGGTCAAGTTTTTCCAAGTTCAAAAGTTTTTTTTTTCAAATTTAAAGTATTTGGCCAAGCTTTTAAGAGAGAAAAAGTATTTATGAGAAGAAGCAGAAGCAGTATTAGAGAAGCAGAAAAAAGTAGCTTCTACCGAGAAGTACTTTTTGGAGAAGCACTTTTGAGAAAAATACACTTGGAAGCATATTTTAAAAGCTTGGCCAAACACTAATTGCTACTTAGAAGTACTACTTTTAAATTAATTAATCAAACACAAATTGTTTCTCGCCAAAAGTACTTTTGAAAAATAGCACTTCTCAAAATAAGCTAATTTTTCCACCTTGGCCAAACGGGCTATAAACCTTCTCAGCCTGAAAATAAATAAAACAGCAAAGGGCCAAATATACCCCATCTACTTTCGAAAATGGTCTAAGAATACCCCTCGTAATACTATTGGGTTATCTATACCCATGCAGTCATACTTTGGGTTCAAATATACCCCTCATTTAAATGGAGGGACACGTGTTATCGTCCTGTTCGTCAATTCTAAATATCTTCTAATTAATTAAAAAGACTCATTAATCATACCCGAAAAGCAAATTTTTAAAGCAATTATTTTTTGTAAAAACTGGAAAAAACTGAAATTATTTTTACTAAAAACTGAAAAAAACGAAAATATTCTTTTTTCAGTGCTTTAGAAAAAATTGAAAAATAATTTCTAAAAAAATATTTTTGAAAAAACTGAAAAAAAAAAAGAAGAAGCTGAAAATCAATTTTCTAAAGCAATTTTTTTTGTAAAAACTGATTTTTTTTTTTTACTAAAAACTGAAAAAAATGAAAAAATAAATTTCCAGTTTTTACAAAAAAACTGCTTTAAAAAAAGCTAAAAAATATTTTCTAAAACAATATTTTTGTAAAAAATGAAAAAAAAAAAACTAAAAAGCAAATTTCTAAAGCAGTGTTTTTGTAAAAACTGAAAAAACAAATTCTTTTTTTCATTTTTTAGTTAAAAATATTTCAGTTTTTTCAGTTTTTAATTGCTTTAGAAAATTGCTTTTCAGTTTTTTTTTTTTCAGTTTTTACAAAAATATTATTTTAGAAAATATTTTCAGTTTTTTTCAAGCAGTTTTTTGTAAAAACTGAAAAAAAATATTTTCATTTTTTTCAGTTTTTAGTAAAAATATTTTTTTAGTTTTTTTCAGTTTTTACAAAAAAAAAATTATTATTCGGGTATGGATAATGTGTCTTTTTAATTAATTAGGAGATATTTAAAATTGACCAACAGGACAATGACACATGTCCGTCCGTTTAAATGAGGGGTATATTTGAACCTAAAGTATGACTGCAAGGTATAGATAACCCAATAGTATAACGAGGGGTATTCTTAAACCATTTTCGAAAATATTGGGGTATATTTGACCCTTTGCGTGAATAGAATTACTACCAACATTTTTATCCTTAAGTCATTCGCTTTAGAGTAAAGCTTATGATTTGGAGGTCGTCGTCATTAAGAAACTTTTACATATTATTAGCGATCAACACTAAAAATACTAATCTCATAGTTAAATCAGCTAGAGAAAATTCTCGAAAAGTTTTATAGGAGCCAAAACATCATGACTACGAAATTTTGGTTTTTAGATGTACAGAAGTTTTACAAGCAGGTCGATGACATTCCACATAATCGATATTCAAGAACGTCAATTGTGAGATAGTTAAGATGGGGAGTTATTTCCTTCCTCTATTTTTTTCAAATGGAGTTATTTCATATTCCATAATTTTACATACTTGTTTAAGTAAGCAGCTTTATATGAAGTGCACACGAATTAAGAGTTCACGGGTCATTCCAAAATTAGGAAGTAAATAAATACAAAATCTAACTAGAACCTTTCAGTTATCCTCACAATTAACCGAAACAAAACTATAACAGGCTTGCTGCTATTAATATTCTGGGAATATCAATAACGCAGAAAAAATCAATAACAGGCTTGCTATTAATATTCGTATACACAACACCCATTCAACAAGGATATATATTAAGGAAACAAAACTAAACTAAAAAGAAACTTAATACATACATTTTGCCCTTCTCAATGTGCTGCTGAGGTCCCGTACTTCTGCAGAGATAGTACACTTCGTACAAGGGTCAACACGTTTGGGGTTTGATTGTAGATATTGGCAAAGTAATCCCAAATACCCTGTTTCTCGTTTCAGGAAATATATGGAGGCATCAATATTTTGGGCATACTCGTGCATATGAGCTTTTATCCTAAGCAGCAATGCAACTCTAACTGCTCAATGCTCATCAGGCAAGACTTTGTTTCAAAGCATAAGTAGTTGTATGCTGTGGCGCAGTAGCATCCGCAATGACAAATACCACAGCAAAATAACTGCTGTTGCCAACTGGAACAGCCAACAAACTGACAGTTATACCTTGACGTATTTATCAACATAGCCCTGGAAAACAAACTGTTAGTTACATTGTATTGAATTTGCATAATGTCTTCTAATCAGAGTATCAGCATCCTACACAACCAAGGTTACACTATAAGTCTCTATGGAATAGCAAATTTGATAAACAAAGGTACAATTTGAAATAACAGTGATAAGCACTGTAATATTCAACTTCAAGGATAATCCTATTTCAGACACACAAGATAGTTATTAAAAAGTATGCCCAGCACATTCACTTTAGCGTAAACTCAATCCACATTAATGATAGACACAAGCTAAAAATTTTCAGTAGGCAAACACTTGATTCAACCCTAAACAAAAACAAGATGGGTTTGGTCAAGATGTGTCAAATAACGAGTTATAGCCTACCACACCCAGCATGACCCAACATTCCCTCTTTTTTTGTTGCTTTTTGAAAAAAAATGTGAAAGCTAAAGTAATTTTTTTTATTAGCTTAAGTTCTTCCACATTTACATTATTCCGATCTCCAAATTTGATTTTGTATGTTTTGGTATAGCTTGTATCTTGACCGTCAGGTTACAGTGTTACACTATGTTGACCCGTTTTGACCCAATCGTTTGATGGGTCATTTCAGGTTCAACCCATTGGGTCAAGTCAATCAACAGGTTGTAACACAACCCGTTTAAACTTGGTTGGGCCACACAGATTAAAACCCTTGGCAAAAACTAAACACATAAAAGGGTCTTTGTGAAACAGTAGAGATAAGAAGAGGTCATACCATGACTAGTTTAGTTAATTTCCTCTGTGACGAGTCAATGTAATGGTCTATTTTTGCCTTAGACTTGGGTATTTGGTGACTTTTCATAGCTCCAGAGACCTTGTCAACAGTTTTCTTGACTATGGTCTTGAACACCTCCTTGCTCATATTACCTTGGCGCCATGATGGTTTTAACAGCTCTTTTACAAAATTAGCAACTGAACTCTTGAAAAGCTTCATAGATCGGGAATCCTTACTTTTCTTTTTCTCCCCCGATGGCTTTACCTGTTCGATCTCAATCTCTCCTGCAGGGACATCCTCTCCATCACTGGAATCGCTTGGACTTCCATTCTCAACAGCACCTACCTCTGCCTCAGCAGTCTCACCAAATTCATCATTTTCTGCTGATGCGGTAAATGCAATAGCTCCACCTCCTTTTTGCCTCTTGTTTACTTCAACATCCAGTGGTTCATTGGATCCACTGAGCCTTAACATACCACCCGAGCCATCAGTTACTTCACGCTTTTGACCAGGATCAGACTTCTTAAGTGAGCTAGTAGATGGCTCTATGCTGTCGTAAAGTGGGTCATACTGGTTACCACCTGGCTGGTTGAACATTCCTCCAGCTGCACGGGCAGATGGTGGGGTAATATTCCGTGAACCAAGGCTTTCAGCATGATGGCCATCAATTGGCATATTGCTCAAACTAAATGCACCGTATTTATTACTAGGGAGCATATCTCTTCCATGTATTGAAAGATCCGAACTGAATTTCGTGGTTAGTGGCTGGTCAAATGTAGATGCATAAGGGTTGAAATGACTTGAAATTCTGGATCCAACAAAGTCAGGCAATCGAGAAGCTTGATTCTGGTCTAACGAATCAGATGAATACCTTGACATAGAGGAACTACCTCCAGGCTCAACAAGATGTCGAGAAATACCAGCTGTCTGAGGAACACAGTGCGGCTGTTGCATGTAAGGGTAACTCGTAGAAGATGGAATAGGAAGTTCACCAATAGGCAGACGTTCGCCAAGGAAAGCTGGTGGTCTATTTGGTGAACCCCTAGAATAGATAGGTTGAGTCTGCAGATAAGCATGATGTTCACCACCTTGAGGAATATTAGGCAATGGGCTCGAATAGAAGTCATTTCTTGGAACTACTATATTTGGTTGAAAATATCCCCGAGGAACATTATGTTGTCCACCAGCTGCATTTCCAGAGGAGTCGTTCACAAATGGAGGATGTGGTGGCTGTGACTGTGCTGGACGTGGTGGAAGAGAATTCCAAGAGGTACTCAGAGGTACAGCGAATGGAGACGGTTGATGAGGAAATGGAGCTTGATACAGAGGAACACTTTCCATATATGCAGAAT